GGGTTGGAGGTGACAGTGGGGCACAACGGAAAGAGTTTTGGGACAAGGGCTGTGGGGGGGGGAGGCGTTTGCGTTTCCGGTACTGCTCCTTCTGCATGGCTACAAGCTCCTGGATAGCGTCTGCTTGCCGCTCCAGGATGCTTATGAGCCGATCCGTGCTTTGCTGCCGGTGCTCCGTGCTTTGCCGCCGGTGCGCTGCGTTTTCCTGGCGGATCCTGCTTTCTCTCTCCCTCCAGTTCTGTGCTTTCTCATTCTCTTTAATAGATTGCCGCATCACTTCTTGCAGCATGTCTTCTTTGCTTTTTCGCGGTCTCTTCCTGACTCTTTGCAGTCTCTGACCAGGTGATAAGAGGGACGGCTGAGGTCTCAAGGTTGATGCAGCTGTATAGGCAAAATGCAACATTTAACAGAGGCAGCATTGTTTATACCAGACAGAGTAATGATTTCCCCTGCACTTAAGGAGCATAAAACACACAGGGTCACACAAGAGCATAATTTTCCCGTCCCAAACAGAGCACACATATCCCACGGGAACCTCAAAATGGTGAGTAAGGGGGACTGATTGTTTCAGGACTGGGCTGCACTGTCCTCTGGGTTTCTGTGCCTTGGGGAGAGCCAACAGCTTCAGGGGGCACCTACACTGAACACTGTCCCAACATTTTCCACAGGAGTGCGTCCTGGACGATATCTCGCTGCTGAGGGTGACTTAGGAAGCAAGGGAGGGTCTTCTACTGCAATGCGGCTTCCGCCCTGGCCCATATGCAGCTTGCCTGTATGCAGCAATGGTCCCCCCGCCCCTCGCGGCACAGTGGCGTGGACACGTTAGCCTGGCTGGGACAAGGACCACGGTGGCTCTCCCGATAAACCTGTGCAAGCGCATTGCACATGTTCTGGATGAGACATTCGAAGAGATTACCGAGGCCGATTACCGCGATGTGATAAACCACATCAATGCACTATTCCGCATCTAGGCATGCATGCCTAACCCTCCTCTCCCAAAGAGCCCGCACCGAAAAAATTTCTTCCCGAAAAAACCCCGTTTACCGGGAACCTGCTCTTCTGTTTGTCCTCCACCAAGTACCGGCCGCTGCGACTGGCTACCTTCCTCCTGGCTCGAGAAGAGCTCCTGGCTGCATGGCTCCAGGGATTCCGGGGTGTCTCCATCTGGCCCACCACCATCACTCCCGTTTTCCTCCTCCTCCTCCTCTTCCTCCTCCCCCCCCCCCACCGGCTCTGAAGTGTCCATGGTGGTGCTCGGAGTGCAGGTGGGGTTAACCCCAAGTATCGCATCCAGCTCTTTGTAGAATCGGCAGGTCGCGGGGGGAGCACCCGAGCGGCCGTTTGCGTCGTGAGCTTTGTGGTAGGTGCTCCGCAGCTCCTTCACTTTAATCCTGCACTGCAGGGCATCCCGGTCATGGCCCCTTTCCATCATGTCCTTTGGTACCTTCCCGAAGGTATCGTAATTCCTACGGCTGGAGCGCAGCTGGGACTGGACAGCTTCCTCCCCCCAAACACTGATGAGGTCCAGCAACTCGCCATTGCTCCATACTGGGGCTCGCTTGGCGTGTGGAGGCATGGTCACCTGGAAAGATTCGCTGATAGCACTCCACACCACGCCGGGCTGAGCAAACAGGAAGGGGATTTTTGAAATTCCCGGGAAATGTAAAGGGTCATCACATGGTTGGTTACCTGAGGCCAGGGCAGTAGAGTTTGAACTGATGACCAGAGTGGCTAGAAACAGGCATTGTGGGATACTGCCGAATTCTTCTGGAGGCCAGTCCCAGCGCATTGGGCAGCCACACTGGCACTGCAGCGCTGCAGTGGCAGCGCAATACACGCTATTCCTCTCGGGGACGTGGAGTACATGCAGCGCTGCAACCACGGAGATACAGCGCTGCCAATGCCTTGCCAGTGTGGATGGGGAGTTAGTTACAGCGCTGGGGGCGGCTTTGCAGCGCTGTAACTTGCAAGTGTAGCCAAGGCCTCTGCTCCTTCAAGGGCATCACCCTAGCATACTTCAGTTACATTATATTCACTCATTACCATATTTTTATGAAACCATATAGACTGCACAATGTCACAGGTTGTATGTATTTGATTCCATTTAACAATTGCAAAGTTCTTGGTGCAGGCTTGTAGCAGTGGTAGAAGAAACTGCAAGCTCAAATCAAGTCTCTGGAGTACATCCACAGCTTTGGATGGGTCATTCAGTCCTTGCTTCAGAGCTTCAGTTTCTAGCAAAGTTCCTCCAGATGTCAGAAGCAGGATTGAAGACCAAAATGAAGGGGTTTCCAGGGCCTTTTATATCCTCTGCCTTGTGGAAGGACACCCCTTTGTTGTTACTGTGGAAAATCACAGCAGCAAGATGGAGTTTGGAGTCACATGGGCAAGTCACAGGTCCATGCATGACTCAGTTTGCAGGGAGAGCAGCCATTGCTCACATGCTACCTTGAACATTTCCAGGAAGGCTCTTCAGATGTGGATTGGAGTCTCCCAAGGTCCACGGTCAGCTAAGTGTTTCTTGATTGGGCACTTACTCAGAATAGTCCTTTCTCAAGAAGCTGACCAAATACTTCACTGTTGCTACTTAGAATCAAATACATTGAGAAACAAGCAGCTAGCCAATATTCATACCTTCCAATACAGAAATGATACACACATACAGACAGCATAATCATAACCAGCAAAATACAACCTTTTCATAGACACCTTACTTGACCTTCTTTGTACAATATTTGGTGCAACTATAGGACCTTGGTTGCAACAATGATCTATATGGTCAGAGTTCATTTCAATAACATCACAATGGGCAAATCAGTAAGGCCTAAATTTAAAACAGTGGCCTAAATCTGTGTGTCTTGATTTACCTCTTCAAAATACAGGACTCCAGGGCACGTGTTCCATCTGCAATCGCAGCTGTAGCTGGAGTCAGTGGGCGCTGCGGGTGCCCAGCACCATGGAGACCCAGCCCCTAAGCACTTAGGTCAGTACCCAAATTTGAATCCTACATAAAAAGACATTCTTGACATTTGGACCCAGTCCATCATTGTGCTCTGGCTCCTGTGCCAGCTAGCCTGGCTGTTTGTGCCTCCTCCCCAGCAGCTGCAGGCACAGGGAGTGCTCCTGGGAGGGGCGGGAGGGAGTGGAGTTGGGGCATGGACAGGCTGGAGGAGGAAGGGGTGGAAAGGGATAGAGGGGTGCAGCCAGGGTGAAGCTGCACCTCATTTACTCTGCACCCTGGCAAAGCCCCTGAGGACCATTAAACCAGGGATGCAGCTCTGGCTGGAGCTCAGGACTTGCCCAGCTGCTGCTAAGGTCTGCATTAGCCCTTGAAGCCTCTGAATAGGGGGCCTATTGAACAAACCCTCTGCCTGCCTCAGTTTACCCATCTGCTCAATGTTTGTACGTCTGTTTGCATTACAGTCTAAGGAGAACGAGGCCCCCCATGGTGCTGAGCTCTGAGCAGACACTGAGCAAATAGACCCGGAAAGCTTACGATTCAGTGTCCTGATCCTGAAAAGTCTCAGTGTCCCAATGATGCCAAAGGGACCGAAATGGATAAAGTTACAGCCACCATTTACTGAGAAAAGGGTAGAGTACAAAAATGCCCCCCCAGCTGTGTAACTGAATGTCTCTCAGTAACCAGCTGCACATGGTACATCCGACAGCCAGGGGAGAGAAATAACAGGTACTGTATGTACCATTCCAGTCTTTTTCCTTCTGTAACCCTCTACCAAAGCAGTGAATCTGCTCTGCTCTGCAATGCTGAGTGAAGACCCAGGTACCTGAGACAGCAGCAGGGGAAAGGTGTTTGAACGATGCCTGCAAATCTCAAGCCGCGCGGAGACCAGTAAAAGATCAGCACTTCACTCCGCTGAGCTGCAACGTCTCCATTAACCACGTTGTTAAACTGTTGCAACAATGGACCTGGGTAACTAGCTGCATCCACAGCAGCATCTCTGCGCGGCACGGCTTCTCCACCACAGCTGAATTCCCTCTTCTTGTCCCCGATGGCGGCTTCCCAGACTGCCCCAGGCCTCCTCAGTCTGTCCCCACATCCCCTCCTGCAGCCGCAATGGGCAAGTGGCCTGAGAGGTCTCTGTTTATCCCACGCTATGTACCCTGCAGGCCCCTAGTGTGAGCTCCCTGCACACCTGCTGCCCTCGGCCATTGGGTCCCAGCCCTCACCTGGGGGACAGGAGCTTGGCTTCCCTGCAGCCCCTGGACTCTCTGCTGGGACTGATAAACAGGGAGAAAATGGGTGCAGGCTTTGCTGTGTGTGGTTGTGTTACAGGGTCACCTGCCCCACTAGGGCCCAGGCTGAGATCCCAGCACATTCCACAGGCCCCTGAGGTGCCATTAGATGGACTTTCAGCCTTGGTCCGTGTGGTGGTGAGGGAGGCACTGGGTTACTGCCCTGGGGGTGCTGCTGGGGGAGGGAGGAGATTTACCTGCTCACAGACAATTGTAACAGTTCTAAAGCTTCAACTTTTTGAATCTCAGTATCTAGTGTCATTAAATATTTCTGGTCTGACCAAAATATTGTCTGATCCCCCCACAATTTCCCACAACTGTGAAAATTTTAATTGAAATGATATGCTTAAAATCTAGATTCTTGTACAACTTTGAAAGTTTAAATCAATGAATATAAAAATTGCTTAAAATAAACATTGTCTGTCAAAATTATATATTATAAAAATATTCTGCAGGCTCATCCTCGCAGGGGGATGCCTCAGTGACCCTCCACACCAGCACAGGGGCTGATTGCAGGCCGGGAGCCCTTTGGGTTTTAATTACAGGCTAATTTCACTGAAAGTTACCTGTCACAGGTGTGACTGTACATTTTTTCACTAAAGCCTCCAGGGGTGAAATTGGTTGGGTCCTTCCTGCTCAGCAAACAGCAGGAATCATTTTCAGGAAGGGAAACACCCCCTTGCTGCCGCAGGCGGGGCATAGTGTGAATTCAGGAAATTGAAACTAACCCTGATCCACTGCCCAGAGGGAGTCATGGCTGCAGAGAACCCCGTGGAAAGTCTCCAGGAGGAAGCGACATGTCCCGTCTGTCTGGAGTATTTCACAGAACCTGTCACTCTGGAGTGTGGGCACAATTTCTGCCGAGCCTGCATCAGCCAGTGCTGGGAGGGATCCGATACAGCCGCCTCCTGCCCTCAGTGCAGAGAAACTGTGCAACAGAGAAACAACAGGCCCAACAGGCAGCTGGCAAACATGGTAGAAATCGCCAAGCGGCTGAGTTTACAGGCAGCAAAAGGAGCAGGAGGGGACGGGGTGTGTGGGGAACACCAGGAGGCTCTGAAACTGTTCTGTGAAGAGGATCAAACCCCCATCTGTGTGGTGTGCGACAGATCCCGGGCTCACCGCACTCACAGAGTGGTTCCCATACAGGAGGCTGCCCAGGAGTACAAGGTAGGGAATTGCTGTCAGATTTAATAGATTAACTTTTGGGTTTTAATTACAGGCTAATTTCACTGAGAGTTACCTGTCACAGGTGTGAGTTATCATTCAGCTCTGTAAAGTCTTCATTGTACGGGGAGATGCTATAGCAAAATTAATGGTCTGGCAGTATGGCAACAGAGGCAAAATATCAAGACTTGAAAGCAGGATCTACCCCATCCCTTTCCTGATGCCCCCTGCAAAGCCCCACTCACTCCATACCCCCCTCTCTCCGTTACTCGCTCTCCCCCACCCTCACTCACTTTCACTGGTCTGGGGCAGGGATTTGAGTAGGGATGCGGGCTCTGGGCTCAGCTTGGGGCAGGGGGTTGAGGTGCAGGAGGGGTGAGGGGTGCAAGCTCTGGGAGGGAGTTTGGGTGAAGGAGGGGGCTCTGGGCTGGTGCAGGGGGTTGGGGTTCAGGAGGTGGTATGGGGTGCTGGGTGCAGGATGGGGTAATGGGTGCTGGCTCCAGCCGGGCGGCACTAATTTACCTCAGGTGGCTCCCGGTCATTGGTGCAGCAGGGCTAAGGCAGGTTCCCTGCCTGCCCTGGCCCTACGCCACTCCCGGAAGGGGCCACTGCACCCCTGTGGCCCCTGAGGGAGGGATGTGGCTCCGCGCGCTGCCCCTCTCTGCAGGCACCGCTCCCGCAGCTCCCATTGGCCACAGTTCCCCATTCCCAGCCAATGGGAAATGCGGGGGCGGTGCTGCAGGCAGGAGATTCATACAGAGAACCCTGCCCTCACCCCAGGTTGCGTGGGAATGTTGGCCACTTCTAGGAGTGCCGTATGCCTGAGGCAGGCAGGGAGCCAGCCTCAGCAGCAATGGCAACCCCGCTGTGCTGCCGGAGATCACGATCGACTGGGAGAGTCTCCAGGATCGACTAGTCAATCGCAATCGACCAGTAGATGACCATTGGTCTAGCTAGACAAAAGGTGGGAAGGGAAACTGAGGCATAAAGTGGGGCGGCGAGTTTCCCACAGTCACTCAGCATGTCAGTGAGAGAGCTTAGCAGAGAACCCAGATCTCCCCAGACCCAATCCAAGACCCGAACCACTTTGCCATGCTGCCATCTTAGCATCAGCCCTGGCCAGGGATGAAGTGTGTCCATTAGGAGGGAGCAATGCCTTGATAAAGGTCCCAGGCCCAGCAGGGAGAGGGGGTTTCTCACTGGGATTGTGAACTTCCGTGTTGCTCCATGAAGGATTAAACTCAGATGCTGCCGGCCTGCACTAGAGGAGATCACTGGGCTAAACACTGAACCTGAATTGGTAACAAGTCAGAATATGACATGCTCCCAATCTCCATTAATGAGGTTTCATCTCCTTCGTGGTCCTGATGTCACAAAGCGATTAGAACCAGTCATCTTGGGTTTCAATTGGAAAAACACCCACTTCCAAGAACCTCTCAAGTATTCAGATGAAACCTCCAAATCATTTCTCTTTCTTCAGGAAAGAATCCAGGCCCATTTGAAGACTCTGAGGGAAGAGAGAGAAAAGCTGCTGGGATTCAAAACGACTAGAGAGGGGAATAGCCGGGAGTATCTGGTAGGTTCCTGTTGTTATGAACCGGCAGGGACTGGCAGTGGGAGGTCTGTTTGGAGGCAGATTCCTGTGTGGCCTTGGTGAACATGGGCTTGTGTGTGTTTCTCCATCATCATGGATTGCTGGGTTAGATTCGTGTGTAGACAAGCCCTAAGCTTCCGTTGCAGTTGATGAGTTAATGTCTAGCCCTTGTGGCTTGCCCAGAAATCCTCCCCAAGTGAACTGAATGTCCCCGTGAAGTGCTGTCCACTGTGTCTGGTCATTTTGTGCATTTTTTAAATGTTTGTTTCTTTTAACTCCCCAGGCATCTCTGTCAGTGTAGTGCTGAGTCCTGCCTCCTGCTGCTCTGGGTCTGAATTTCCACAAACCATAAATAACAATATGCTGACCATGACAGGCATGGAAACATCCCTTACAGAGGGATACCAGGGCCAAAGGGGAAGGTGTGAGAGAATCTCCTGCCTAGTACACACAAGATAGAGTCAAATGTCAGAAATCTTTTGATTTTCAAAGAAATTCATCCTCCTGCACACTCAGCTCTCCATGAAAGGATCCCGGGCTCCATCCATGTCCCTGACCAGCCCTTTTCCTTATTTTCATATAGAAACAAACACAAACCGAGAGGCAGAAGATTGTGTCTGAATTTCAGCAACTGCAGCAGTTCCTGGAGGAACACGAGCGACTCCTGCTGGCCCAGCTGGACAAGCTGGATGAGGAGATTGTGAAGATACAGAATGAAAATGTCAGTCAACTCTCCGAGCAGATTTCCCGTCTCAGTGAGCTGATCAGTGAGATGGAGGGGAAGTGTCAGAAGCCAGCAAGTGAATTCCTGCAGGTGAGACTGAGTGAGAAACACAGGTGGGTGCTGCAAGGTAGCCAGCTCCCCCCCCTCAGTGCCGTCTGTCAGCTGCCCTGCCGATCAACTCCTCCCCCTCCCTCCAGCACCACCTGCCTATTTGCGATCAGCTGTTCGACTGTGTGCAGCAGTTGCTGGGATGGAGGGGGAGGACTGGGGAGGGAGTGTGCCCACAAGAGGAGGTGGGGAAGAGGCAGGGTGGGGGTGGAGTAGGAGCGAGAAGAGTTGGGCTGGGGTGTGGCATTGGGGGAAGGTTTGGAGTGGGGGTGGAGGGTGGGGTTGAGCACCCCCAGGGACAATTGGAAACCAGCATCAGTCATTAGAAACATGCCAGATCCCCACACAGGGAAGGGAGGGCTCCTGAATCATAAGCACAGGAGTCCAGCCATCGGAAACCATGGTGTAACTCGGCGTGTGCATTGCTGACATGTGAATAACTATTATTCTTTGCAGAGTCACAGACACAGAGATAGGGGAGATGGAAAAGCCCCATTAGCTCAGGGAATCCATGGCCCTGGGGCCAGGGCAGGGCCTCGCTTCCCCATACTTCCTAAATCCCTTCCCTGGAATCCCCTGTGTGTGTGTCAGAGGGGACTGAGATTCTTTTCTCTCTCTCTCTCCTCTAGGACATCAGAAGCACCTTGAGCAGGTAGGTGACTCTCTCTCACTCCCCCTCACACTTCACAAAGCTAAAGAGCTTGGTGATGTTAGCACCTCATCTCCCCAGGTCTCTCCAGCAAAATGTGTGGGAAAATGTGCTGGATATGAATCTCTGATCAACTTCATCCTGGGATGCTCACTCTTCTACAGATGACTCTGGAATTAACTATTCAATGGCAAAGACTGACCTCAAGTATTTCATAGAGATATCACATCCCTAGGGGACTGGTGGCCTCAGGACTATGAGGATGGACCTGTCACTGCTGGGGCACTGGTCACCATTCAGGCCAGGGCAGCAGCGATCAAGAGTCTTTCCCACCTGAGGACTGTTTGGAGACCTGTGTGGAATGAGCTGTGGAGGGGGGAGTTGGTGTCTCAGTCTAGTTCCTAGAGGGCAGATTTCTACAGCACTTCACCTGGGAACCTGCTGTCCCCCAGAGCATGGAGGCCAAGGAGTGAATTGGCCACAGAGACACAATTCCCCTTTTGTCCCCAGAGCTGATCTCTCCAGACCAGAGTTGAAGAATATTAATGAGTCCTTTGAAGGGAAGGTTGTATGGCCATGGGCTGTGTCACACCTGCTCTGAGGCTGGGGGAAGTGGAATTCTAACTCCAGGCCCATTAGAGCAGCGACTCACTAGCCAGAACTTATGAGTCACACAATGAAATATAATGACGTGAAATTGTTTCTCTCCAGGTTTGAGAAGGAGCAGTGCCAGCAGCGAGAGGAGATTTCTCCTGAACTGGAAGAGCGAGTCAGTGGTTTCTCTCAGAAAAATATTGCACTATTGGAGGCTCTGAGGAAGTTCAAAGGTACCTAGAAGGGATCTAGGAATGGAAATTGGGATGAGCCTCTGTGACTGTGGGAAGAGAATGGTGCTGCTGAATTGGTTCACACTTAGATGATGCTTCCATTTAATTGTTGGGTGAGAATGCCAGACACTTGAGGTCCAAGTCACTCAGATTGATTAATTGAAACCTTTATTTCTACCAAAAGCATGCCTTGCCATGACCATTACCCTTAAAGTAAGAAATGACTCAAAGGAAAAAATGACTCAAAGACTAAGGCCAGAAGGAGCCATCATGATCATCTAGTCTGATGTCCTGCACACTGCAGACTACAGAATCTCACCCACCCACTCCTGCAATTGACCCCTAACCTCTGGCCGAGTTACTGACGTCCTCAAATCATGATTTAAAGCAGGGATCGGCAACCTTTGGATGTGCTGGCTGCGGCTTCCCGCAGCCCCCGTTGGCCTGGAACGGTAAACTGCTTCCGGTGTGAGCTGCGATGCACCGAATCCGCAGATGTGGCAGGTCTGGCCCTAGCAGGTCACGTCCCAATGGTTGCCAATCCCTGATTTAAAAACTTGAAGTGTAACAGGTTGCGCACTCGCTGGCACAGCGCCTCCTGCTGGTCAGTCTGGGAATTAGCTTTTCAGCTCCAGAGCACCCCCTTCTGGCTGGTGTCTCTCCTGCCTCAGGCCCCCCATGTCCCTCCTGGACCCCGGTGCCCCTTACCTTGGGGTTCTGCCACAGCATTACTCCCACACTCTGGGTCTCCCCTCTCAATCCTCTATAGCCACCTTGCCTCAGTGGCTACTGCCAGTCATGATCTAGCCCCCGCTCACTGGGGCAGTCTGCAGACGCCACTCTGCATTGGCAAGGGGGTTGGACCTGCTGCTTTTCTAGCCCCAGCTGTCTCCCTGCAGCCCTAGTACCATCCCTGGCCCTTAGCAAGGCCTCAGCCTGGGGACTTGCCAGGCCAGAACTCCCCAGCTCTGCCTGCCCTTCCCCAGCACTGCTCTGTCTGAGGTACCCTGTGC